GAAGGTGTGGATGCCAGTTAAAAAGTCTATTATGACTCTCTAAACCTGGTGTAATCCACATAAAAATAGAGATTAACCTTGTTCCCAAAAATTAGAATTTCAAAAATGTTTTACTTTTATGAGAACTGAATTTTGATGTAGTGCCAGGGCATGGGTCTCAGTGCTCTAATCTCTGAGCAATGTCACATCTATATGACAATAATAAACAGAAAAAAAAAATGGAAGGAGCTGGGCCAGCCCGGTGGTGCACTGCTACAGTGCGCCACTTGGGAGCGCGGCGGCGCTCCCGCCGAGGGTTCGGATCCCACATACAGACCGGCTGCTCACTGGCTGAGCGAGGTGCGGGCGCAACACCGAGGGTTGCGATCCCATTGCTGGTCCCGGTCCGGTACGGGCGTGACACTGAGGGTTGCGATCCGTTGCCAGTCACAAAAAAAGACAAAAAAAAGGAAAAAAAAAAATGGAAGGTGCTGTGGATTGTTTCCCCAAAATTCATTGAAGCTTAATCCCCACTGTAACTGTTAAGAGGGTGAGAAATCCTATTATGGTAATTGGAAGGTGGGGCCTTGAAGAGGTGATTAGATTGTGAGGACTATGCTGTCGTGAGTGGATTGATCCATTCATGGAGTAATGGGCATGGTTCTGATGGATTTAAAAGGAGAGCAAGTGAGAATGTTATCTCCCTGTTGCTCAGCCGTTTCACAATGTGACACCCTGCATCACCATATAGAGTCAACACCAAGAACAAGGCCCTCTCCAGGTGCAACCCCCAGACTGTGGACTTCCCAGCCTACAAACTGTAAGAAATAAATTATCCATTTTGGGTATTCCATATGAACAGAAACTGACTAATACAAAAGAGAAATGGACTAATATCTGAGTATTGATCTTCCCAGCTACATTGCTGTTTCCTTTACATTATCTTATTCAAATTCTACGTCATGACCCAGATTTAGATTTGAATCCCACATCCACTATTCACAAGCTGTGTGACCTTGGCAAAGTAACTTCTCTGAGCCTGTTTCCTCCTCTGAAAATGGGAATATAGGATTCAAATATTTTGTAAGGATAAAATGAATTAATACATGTAAAGCACTTGGAAAAAAAATAAGAAATGGCACATACTAAGGGCACAAAACCGTCAGCTATTTAGGAGGTGATTGCTGTGGTTATTATTGATCTCATTTCATCCTTTCCATTGTGAAGGTTGTATTGTCATCTTCCTTTTCAGTAAAACAATNAAACAACCTAAATGACCATCCATATCAGACAGCACATCTTTATAATGGAATATTATTTTTGCTTTTGACATGGAGGCTCTGCAAGTCATATTTCTTCAAGTGGAATTAGCAAGGAGCAGGACAGAGTGTGAATTATGCTGTCATGTGGAAAAGTGTGTGGGAGGAGGATGGGGGTGTTACATGTATATATGCTTGCATAAGCATAAAGCAGCTTTGGAAGGAGACACAAAGAACTATAAAAGTATTGGGGAATGGATTTAAGGGATTAATATTCAGGAGAGGGAGGGAAACTTCCTTTCACAGTACCTTCTTGTATTGTTTGATTTTTTTTAACCATGTAGATATATTACTTTAAAAAAAAATAATTGTGTGTTAAGAGTTGGTGGGGAAGGGGGTCTGTGTTTTTTTTTTTTCAGATTGCATGTGCCCTCTGTATACTGGTAGAATGAGACACCCTGAAACCCTAATTCAGCCAGTCAGTTGGGAATATTTATTTAGTTGAGAATCTGATTTTACAGAGAACACTGTAACAGATCCTAACTTGCCGTGTAAGGGGGTCCACCAGGGCTTCCTGCCTCCAGGTGCTACCCAAGGTGCCAGAATACTTCTGCATGGCCATGGCTATTGTCCTTCACAGAGTGGGTGGGTGGGGAAGGTGTGGATGCCAGTTAAAAAGTCTATTATGACTCTCTAAACCTGGTGTAATCCACATAAAAACAGAGATTAAACTTGCTCCCCAAAATTGGAATTTCAAAAATGTTTTACTTTTATGAGAACTGAATTTTGATGTAGTGCCAGGGCATGGGNCTATTTAGGAGGTGATTGCTGTGGTTATTATTGATCTCATTTCATCCTTTCCATTGTGAAGGTTGTATTGTCATCTTCCTTTTCAGTAAAACAATGAAACTTAAGTGCCAAAATAAGTCTCATAATACGTCTCTGTGAGAGATAGTGAATTAGGTGGGTCATTCCAGCACATATCATTTAATCCCTAACATATGACTGTAGAACTATTTCCCTCTCTCCCCCTCCACCAGTAAAGAATCAAGCAGAGCCATATGCTTTTTAATAGATAATACAAGAGTGATATACAACTCTGACAAAGCATTGAAAATGCTTCAACTATTATGTAATCTTGACTGTGGATCTAACCATAGTCAATAACATTAAACATAATAATGATACTAACATTCATTGAGCATCTACTACCAGGCACTGTGGCAAGGGTTTAATACCCCCCATCCCATTAGATTCTGACAACACCCACTTGAGATACCTATAATCATTCCCTGATTTTACAGGTGCAGAAATTGACACAGAGAGTAGTTAAGGAACCAGCCCACAGGCACACAGCTGGTAAGTGGCAGAGCTGTACAGGAACCCAGGTATCGGACTCCAGAGTTCATGTGCTTTACCACTGTAGATATTTGGAACTAGGCCCACTAGCAACACCCGGGAGGCTCACCTTTAACATTATGTGGAAAGTCATGCATGCTCAACTTCTCAATTCAAAAGCTGAGTTTCTTGTTTTAGCTCTACTGGACTGACCATTTGCAAAGGGAAATATTGCAAGATCCTTAGGTAATCACTCAAGTGAGTGAACCAGAAAAGAAATAATAAAAGTTTAATGACTGGCAGCTTCTCCTTTCTAACCACCACCATTATGCCTCAGTATGGGAGATCTTGGTGTCATAACCAAACATTGGCTTTTTCTGCATTTGGGTTAAATGCCTATGACCAGAGCTCCTTCAGAGGTTAATTGTTAATGTATAACAATAGCTCATCCCAGAGGGACAGACCAAGGCGTGGCTCTGTTGAACAATAAATGGAAAGAGAGCCTAGGCATCCCTACAGGACACCTGGGACAAAAGGAAAAAAAAAAAAAAAGAAAGAAAAAAGCCTTTTAAAGGAATGCAGGGTGCTCCCTCTCATATGTGGGAGCTAAAGAAAAAGAAGTTGAGCTCATAGAAGGAGAGAATAGAATTGTGATTACTAGAGGTCAGGAAGGAGGGAAATAGGGAGAGGTTGGTTAATAGATACAAAATTACAGCTAGCTAGGACAAGTAATTCTAGTGGTCTACAGTAGTGCCAGGCATCTATAACTAACAATAATTTATTGCATGTTCTCAATTGGCCAGAAGAGAGGAGCCCAAATGTTCTCATCAAAGAAATGGTAAATTTTTGCAATGACAAATATGCTAACTACCCTGGTTTAATCATCACACATTGTTTACATGTATTG